TTGTACACATATATTACATGATTTGATCATAAGTTTCGATTTAATGGATCCCTCGGTTTAACGGATAAATTTTCTGGCTGTGGTTTTTGCACCGATTAAAATTCTTTCATATTCTCCAATAGATGGCTCTGAGTCACCCAATCCAACTAAAAGTATGCAATCCGCCTTAAGGAATTAGAAAAAATAAATAAGTGTCAATACACATTTCAATGTTGTGAATGAATTAAACAATCTTTTAATAAAAAATATTTTATAATTGTATATTCCACCTGTCTAATACAAGTTTGAGTCCATGAAGAATTTATACCCCCATCAGCCAAATATAATACTATTCTAGCATTTTCTTCTTGTTCTGCCAGCCAATTAATTAATTTTAACCTTCCAATTTGATTGAATGCATGTTTACCCAATGCAGAAACTACAGAAGCATGATTCAAAAGTATGCACGATTCACCGGTTTTAAGTAATGCATTTTTTAACTTGCTGGCAAATTCGGCCACAGGAACACTTCCATTAACCGGTAATATTCCGACTGTTTTTAAATTTCTATTATTTTTCCCAAACTCTGTACTGCTAGTATTACCAATATTACAATCCAATTCTTGTTGTAAATGTGTCCTTCCTGCTATAATACGAGATATTTGTAAGGTGATTTCTGGATGTCTAAGAGCAAGTGAATTAAATAAGGTTTTTGGCATGCGAGCCAATTCAGTATCACGAATAGCATGTAAAGTGTATGGACGTGGTGTTCCAGCTATTGTTATTAATAAACTCAAATACATTAGTTAAGTATTATATTGTTATTATTATTACTTATTATTATAATGTTAAATTAATGATATCATACTCATAACTTCAAGTTCGCCAACGCTCTGACCTTTCCCATATTCTCCAAGAATATCAATCACTCCACTTTCCCTTTCATTAATTGTACGCACACGACCACTAAGCACAATATATATGGAATCACTAACATCACCTTTTCTATATAAAACTTGACCTGCATTAACTTGTAACCAATCAAGCGCAAAATCAATATGAAGAACTATAATTATATATAAATAAATAAATATATATTTTATCAAATAAGAAAAAATATCTTTAAAAATAAATAATTTTGCAAGAAAAAATTTTTTATTTTATTAAAATTATTACTTAATGGCGACAAAAGTTTAATCAATCTTTTTGCTAAAGTTAAAAGTATAGTTGGATTTTTTTCCATGAGACGATTTAAAGAAGCCTTTGATAAAAATCCAACATAGGTATCTGTACTAGCCCGAATATTGACAAAAGAAGGAAATCCTGTCAACGCTGCTAGATATCCAGCAATACCTCCAGATTTGATCATGAATAAGCTACGGTCTCTAGTATTAATATTCGGACCATTTGTGATTGATTCTTTTTTTTTATGTAAAGATTTTGCCGACAAAGGAATTGGAGTAGTAATTTTTGATTCAAATGGAGTAGAGCTTCCAAATAAATCATTTTTGTTTGCAGTAACATATACATCTAAAATACCATCAATGACAAAAAATAAGCCGACATTTCTTTCATCTTCCTTAACTAGATGGGAGCCTTTTGGATAAAATAAAATTTCAACATCACTTTCTATTTCACTATTTACTGAAGAAATTGTCTCTGAAATCGATTCGTCATCACAACTAGGCTGTAAAAGACCAATACCCTTTGATATACCTTCAAGAACTGATTCACGAAGATACCGGTCATCTTCCGCATCATAGTCACGACCATTTATAGGTGATCCACTTGTAGGCTTCACATGTTCTTTAGTAGGAACTGAAAGGTATCTAGTAGTTGTAGATGTAAGAGATGAGTCTAAACCTTTATTATTCAAATGGTTTTTTACAGTGAATTCGACATCACTTTCATAAGTCTTTCTGGGTCGTGAATTGTTTCTATTTTTTTTATTTTTGTTAATTAAACCACTATCACTCATATCCATATCATCAGAATCATCATGATGTTCTCTTGCATATTTTGTCCCGCTACCAACAAATTTTAATCTAAGCCGTTCCATACTACCAGGTCTAAAGAAATCATTTGGGAGTCCATAACTAGCAACATCGTTCATCAGTTTTTCAGTTCTCAAAAGATCCTTAGTCAGACCTAAATACTTGTATCCGGTCCAAAAAGTAACTCTTTGAAAACGAGTTAATATTACCTGTACAATATGAGCTACAGAATTTGGAAAATTTTCCGTTAGCCTATGAAATGCCTCTGATGGTATAACAGCCAAAGTAGTGTCAACAGTAGCTCTAGCAATGATGTTAGGATGGACATTTAATGAATGCAAACTTTCTTTTGAAATTTTTCGAAGAATTTGAGGTCTTGAATATTCATTTGGTGGCGATGAAAGATTTGACAAAGTATTATTATTTGTTTTATCTTTTCTTGAAGGTTTTTTTTGATGATTAATTTTCCCAAAATAATTATCTGCTTCTTCATCCAAAGTATTTAAATTGGAAAACATAATTTTCCAGCCTTCTTGATCATTTGTAGGCGGAATACCATCATCATATTTTTCCGATGATTTATTTTTCGAGTCAGTGACGTTGTCAACATGATCTTTTTTCTCCTCTGCTACTGTTGTTGGTTCTTCAGTATCAGGATATCGAAGTTCAATATCTTCAGTGAATAAAGAAAGAATTGTAAACAAACTTGACAATGTACCACCATTTGTAACCTCATTCAACAATTGATAGCCACGATTATAATCATCACTTTCAAATGGATCCAATGCTATTTCTTCTTCATTAACAGTTTTCACAAATACTTGGACATGACCATCAACCACAATATAAAAAGATCTTTCTTTTTCTAACATTAACGTGTCACCGGTTAATAATTTTTTTGTTTGTAGATGTCTTGCCAGTTCATTAAAAACAGGCTTTTCCAAATATCCAAAAACTTTAATACCCTCCAAAAACATGCTCAAAAATTCATCTGGGTATTTACTCGGTTTTTCACTTTCACCAGTGACATCGGGATGTAAATCATAACATGGTCCTTGAGATTGAGGCTTCTCTACTGGAAGGCGTGAGTATTTGTTATGAAACCGATAACGAACCACAAGATATCCTAAAGTAAAAGATAATCCAAAAAATATTAATAATGTTGTAAAATTGAGTTGCAATGTGAATGACCACGAAAGAAGTTTATAGATCCAAGTAGGAAGAGTAATTGTAGCAAAAGATGCTAGTGAAAAAGACCAATTAAATATGATCGACGCAATAAGTAAAGGAAAAGAATATTCAATATTTTCAACATCCAACAAGTCTGTTGAGCCTGTTGTTAAATTAATATCCATTTTTTATTTATAGTTGGAAAAAAAAAGAGAAATACAAATAATACGATGATCCGGTAAATGACGCGAAAGCATAAATATGCATGATTATGTGGTTGGGTAAAAAATAATTATTACATGTATTACATATAGAAAAAAATATCAATTTACTACTATCCTAATTCGTAAATAAAATTAAACATATAAAAAAAAGAAAAAAAACCAACAACATTCAACATATCGTGGTATTATTATGGAAGAACATTAGCAACAATTTTTAAAATCTCTTCCGTATTTTTGCCAACATTTTTCATATCTTTTGCAACTGATTGCCAATATTCACCATGGTGAGGTTCAGCAGCAACACATCGTGATATCACGTCTTCTTGTAGTTTCTAGAGAGAAATTATTTTATGTAAGATTCTTTTAACTTATCTTTAAAAAAGAAAAAGAAAATTTTAAATATATCATACCTCTGTTCCATGTTGACATTCAAACTTATAGAACCAACCCCATGAATCACCACAATCAGGATCCACTTTTACGACCTTTTCAAACCATGTACGTGCTTTATCGACTTTACGCTCTAACCAAAATAGTCGTGCCACTGTGGTAATTACTATTGGATCGTTATCGCATTTTTTTAAGGCATCTACTGATTTGGTTCTACGTTGTGGTCGAGGTTCCATAAAGATTGCCTCTGACCACAATAAACCTGAGTTTGGACATTCTTGTAAAGCTAATAAATAATATGAAGAAAATGACATTTGATTGTAAATAACATTATGTATTTTTTAAAAAAATATTTTTATTAAATGAAAGTATTTTTTGAATAGTTTACCTTTTGACAATAGGGCCTTTGCCATATTAACGTTGTTACCTCTTAATTCAACTCGAATAGATTCGCACCATAATTCAGGTATTTTTGGATTTAATAAGCGGCCTCTTTCTAGAGTAGCCCTAGCTTTTATTAATATTCCTGCCTTTTCTTCTAAACGTGAAGCCAAAATCCACAAAGTGACCGATTTTGGACAATTTTTTACAGCTCTTAAGTAGGTCGCCCTTGCTGTTTGTATGTCACCATTTTCGTCTTCGATTTGTCCTTTGATCATCCAAAGTTTATCAAAAGTAGGGAACTTTTGTAAAGCTTCATCCAACATAGACAAAGCTTCTGTTATCTTATTAAGTTGACGTTCCAACACAATGGATTTCATCCATACTTTTTCTGTGCCTGCTTGTTCTCTAGCTCTTTGTAACAAAACTCTTGCACGTTCATATTCTCCATTTTCAGCTTCTAGTTTCACAGCAGCTAGCCATATTTGTTCGCTATTTGAGTTGGCTTTGAAAGCCTCAGTTAAAATATATCTTGCACCATTAACATCACCCTACGTTGAATTAAATAGTTATATTATTAAAATTATTATTTGTTGTATACAAGTTGGGAAAAATAAATAAAAAACTTGTATTTATACTAACAGATAACCATTTCTCTTTAGCTCCCATTAACCAAAGGACCTCAGCTTGTGGACAAAATCTTACAGCACGTTGAAGTAATTCTTCCAAGGATTCTCTAAAAATTTATTTTATTTTACCAAGTCAATAAATAAACATAAAAAAGTTATTTAATGATAATAATTAAATTTTCTTACCTTGTGCCATGCGACTTTTCAAGAAAGGCAGCTCTTCTCCAGATTGATTTTTTACCAGGGAAAGTTTTTAACGCTTGAGCATATATAGCTCTAGCGGTTTCAATTGAGCCATGTGACACACAACTTTCAGCATCTTCCATCCAAATAGCTTTTTTGTCTTGTTGTTCAATTCCCATACCAATAGTATTTCTTACCATGGCTTGGCAAGTTCCAATGCTACCCTCTTTTTCACATTTTTCAGCCTCTTGTAACCATTGCTCTCTACCTAAAACAGTACCCTTTTCTGATAGGACAGTTACTGCACGAGCAATGATTTTGTCTGTCATTTTTTCGTTTCCTTGTTGTTCTTCAAGGCGAGCTGCTGCTATCCATATTTCATGGGATGTGGGTATAAAAGTACGAGCACGATTAAGGACTTTTTTGGCATTTTCATAACTCTCAAGTCTTGCAAGCGCCAACCACAAATCAACAGAAAGAGGAACCAATTCAGTTGCACGACCCAACAATATACAAGCATCAGCTGGGTCTTCTTCCATATTGACAGCGGCTTTCCAAAGTTTCACAGAATTGGGTACAAATTCTAACGCCCTCCTAAGAACTTGTTTTTGATTTTTAGGAACAGTTTCTAATTTTACAGCTTGCAACCAAATTTTAACTGATTGTGGAAGATGCCTAACAGCATTTGCTAATATAGTTCTAGCAGTATCAGCATTGTTCAAGCGAGCTGCTTCCAACCATACGTCCTCATTTTTAGGACATTCTTCACAGCCTTTAGCGATTATAGTTCTAGCTTGTGATAATTTACCAGCAACTTCTTCTAAACGTGCTGCTGCAATCCAACCTAAATAAATAATTTTTGGAAGAGTTAAAAAACCCCTATTTTAATATTTTAAAAATAATAGAAGACAAGATTATCATGTAAAAAGTTGTATATAAAATTACCAGGCGCGTGTTTTGGATTTGTTGAAATTACCGAATTCAATAAAAGCCGAGCCTTCTTGATATCACTAAAATGCGAAAAAATTTTTTAATAAAAATCATAATATCATTTTTTCAATTACATAATAAATATCCTCAAATAATGAAATGCGTACCCTATTTCAGCATCACTTTTAATAACTACACTATTTAAATCTGTTAAATAGCCTTTTGGATCAACAGTAGTCTGACCACTAACAGAATCTGAAATTTGATCCAATTTCAAACTTAGAACTTTATCTCTTGCTTGTCCAATCTCGATAAAATTAGTCATCATTCCAGAATCTGGTGCAGGTGTTTGGAAACCGCCAAATTTCTAAAAAAAAAATAATGGATAAATTTTATAATTAAATTTAATATATATCAAATAATCTATCCAAGTCATTTATTTAATCATACTTGTTGTTGAGCGTCCAAAGTGGTAATATATTGATTATCTTCTCTAGATTTTTCCAACAGTGAATCTGGGACAGCATAATATCTAATAAATGGCATAGAATACATTATTAATTTTATATTTATATATTTATAAAAAATTTTAAAAATCATAATAAATTGAAGAATTCACCTTTCTCTTAAATTAGTTTTTTTACGATTTTTTCCAACAAGATCACCAACTTCTGGTAAATTTGCCCATTCAACATCTGTAACAGCAGCAAGGCCTCTTTTTAAATCAGCAAATTGTTGTTGAATTTTTGGTCTTTCTGCACGATATTTTTCCAATTCTTGTTTTTCACGAGCTTCTCTGTAATTAAACAAAAGGAAAATAAATAAAAATAAAAATAAAAAATATTTATATATGATTGCAAACCTTCTAGCTTTTCTACGCTCATCCATTTTCAAATCAATTGCTTCGTAAATCTTATCTGCTTCTTCGTCATCTTCTTCATATGGTGCAGAAGCAAAAAGACCTGTTTCATTATCGGGATCTTGGAATCTTTCATCATCGTCATCATCATCTTGTTGAGCCTTCTTTTGTAATGCATCACTAGTAGTTGTCAAAAGTCATGATTTAGCAAATACATGTTAATTGAATCTTAAATTTTGTATGGTTTACCTCTTTCAGATCCACTTAAAGTAGGCACATATTTTTAATGGTCAAGAAAATTGAAAGAGGTTTTATAGACAATTTTGTTGATTAAACGGATTTATATATATATATATTTAATATTTCAAAAATCGTAAACCATAAAACTCACCTGAAATCAGTAGGTCCTTCTCTGGCAGGCCCTATATCTGAACGTGTGGTAAAACCAGTTGCACTTGAAATTAAAATAAAAAAAAAGTAATCAATTCGATGAATAAATCAGCATTCAAAACATCAAACATTTGTATAAATAATTTTAGACACACACCCTCTACCCAAGCCTGCAACATAATTTGGAGGTGCTTCTTTGTTCATGAAATCTTTTGTTGCCGAAAACATTGTTTTAAATCAGTTTTTTTTTAAATTATAATTCATGGATATTTTTAAGCAATTTTATCTATTTTATGATGTTGCACAGCATAGCAGTCATTTTCATATTTGGTAATGATTTGCGTCAATCACATTTTGATTTTATCACATAAAAAAGAATTTTGATTGGGCTGAATATAATAAACAAACCTATTACTATTTTTAATATTTTTATATATACTGTACATAAAAAAATGTGATGTGATAGATACAGAGAGATAAAGACACATTATAAAAAAATAATAATTGTGCAAAAATCTAATAGATTGTGTGAATTTAACATTTTATTTTTTGTAAATAAATAAAATTCAATGTCATTATAACAGTAATGACTTGTACTTCCTTATTATCCACAATATTTTATTATCCACAGTATTTTATTATCCATAGTACTTTATTATCCGCATTCTATATCTAACTGTTGATTATTACCAAATTGGGTAAAGATATTTAAAGATGAAATTTGGGGCATGCTGCAACAAAACCAGACAAAGTTTCAGGGATCAAAATTTAGTCATCAGTAATGTGATCATAATTAATAGTTTTATAATATCCCATTTGTTATCTTTAGTGATATATAGAACTATCCCTATATAAAAATAATTAATATGAAACTCATTTATATCAGATCTACCATGGAACCAAACAATTAGAAGTGTTTTGAAGAAAGAACAAGGAAAAAAGATTGCACCTTATGTTTTCAAAATAAATGATACTCAGACACTTGAAGCTTATCTAAGAAAAGAAAGAATTACCAATGAAATTTACCAAGAAGAAAGAAAAATAATAAACATTAGAAAAAGAAAGCAGCATGAAGGTGCATTACTACCTGACAAAAAACAGAAATCCATAGAAGGAAAATAATATGCAATGAATCTTATTATTAAATACTAATCTATTTTTTTACTGACAAACTTTATGCAAATGTAATTAACAATTATCATATTGCATTGCTTATCAATAAAAAAACGCTGTTTGAATTGTTTTACATTCAAGAATATGTGAAACAAGATAAATAATCCCACCTTATGTTGGAACATTATAAAAATATTACTAATTCACTTATTTTCAGTAAAACTTATAAAAATCAATTCTATATTATAAATTGAAAAATTGATCAAATAGTCAACAAAATAGGACCAAGAAAAAGCCAATTCAAAAATAAATTAAGCAAACTTACTGGTGATAGAAAAATATTCACAAGAGATTGAAAATCTATGGAAGGATTCCAAGCAATTGTTTGACAAAAAGACTGGATCGAATCCTGATTTTCATTTAAAGAAATGGCCATGGCTCATTAAGAAATTGTTCAAAAGTATATTGTTGATCAATATTAATGGATTTTAATGCTACAAGTTCTTGGTAATGCTTTGAAAATGCACAAGAAATTGGTTCAAATAATCCACCATCAATAAATTCAATATTTTGAAAAGAATTATAATCATATAAAATATATTCCCTTTTAAGTTGATGTTTAAACATTTTTCCTCCTCTGAAATAGATTCTACATTTATTTTAATTGCAATTTTAATCATAATTTTAATGACTTTAATCGCAATTTTAATGTTTTTAATTGCAATTTTAATGTTTTTGTTTTTTTTTCTCTATTTTGCCTTATCATTGAACAACTGTGTAAAATGGTCTTTCTAGAAAGCTTCAACAATCTGTTAGCACACTTTATGGTGCGGTTTACAATAAATAATGTAACCCTTTTAGAAACGACAAAGGTTTCTCTAAAGTTCCTTTTTTATTTATTTACTTTGACTTTCTTTGGTTGCTTAAATTTTTTAACGGCTGTACAGTCGTTTTTCTTCTTTCGAAGAAACAAAATGCTAGTAAAATTTTTGCTCGGTAAAGAAGCAAAGGTTTGTTTCAAGTTTTTGTTAAGTGTAAACCTTTTTGTTTACGTTTTGTAAAAGTTTTTAAATATTTAAGTGTAAACCTAAAACTAAAATTTTTTATTGGTGTGTTAGAGTGTGAATGTAAAAGTGTAAAGTGTTAACGGTCATTATCGATTAATTAACCAAATATAAAGTGATGACATTTATTAACCAAAGTCGACACCGCTAATTTTAAATGACAAAGCACTAATTTTTTTATTTCTATAATATTTTTTCTTATTTTTATTGTGAGTCCTACAATGTCTCGAAAGTTCATCTGGCCTGGAAAATCTTGTGTTACATCCCCCAATTCATGAGGTCTTTCTCCAGTATGTGTTCTATTATGACTGACCAAATGTTCCAATCGATTAAATTTTTTTTGCATGTACTGCATTTATGTTTGTAAATTATAACACCAGGAGAAGAGAGGTGGCGGGAGGAATTTTTCTTTGTAATAATCTTGTTGTTATTATTATTATTACTATCATCGTCCGTATCTAAATATAAACTAGAATCTTCATTATTAACTTGGTTTTCTTATATAATCATAATTTGGTGACAACAATTCAGGAGGATTGATGAGATTGTAAATTTTAAATGTTGACATTATTATGATGACTCGTTGATGTATATAGTGAAAATTGGTGTAACGTTAAAAATGAGTAAATATTTTTTTCGGTAGGGAGAGATTCAGTATGGTATAACTCTTGCAGAATGTATGGTATGGTATGGTATAGTCCATATTTTTCCATACCAAGTCACACAAAATTTTATTCTAAATCCTTTTTTGGTGGGCGTGAAGGGAAGTATGTTAGATTTAAGCATTGGTATACAACCATTTTATTACATTTATACAATACCATACCATACGTTTTGCAAGAGTTATACCATACTGAATGTCCCTATACTCTATTTTTTTTTCAACGAACTCAACCAAATCAGTGCAACGATACTATCTCTCTTTGGAAATTTTCGAAAGAAAAGAAAAATTTTCATTTCACAAAATTGATTGCGTTGTATAAATCTTTTGATCATTGATCATGATCACTCTCCAATTTTTTTTAAAACGTTCAGAGGTTGTATTTTAACACAAGTAAGAAACGAAACATTTGCCGTGTCATGACCACCTACCAAAAGCAGTAAGGCGAGTGACCTTTGTGCAGGTTTCTCGCCGATTGTCTCCTTTTGCGTTTAGCCGCGCTTGGTTTTTTCGGCTTTTGGCGCGATCAACGTTTTCACCATATTTGGCGAAAATTGTGTCGTACGGCAAATGTTTCGTTTCTTAATAGATTCAATTGCAAGCGTTGCATGCAATGCTTTGCAAGGTGAAGAGAGGCATGATCAATGAACCAGCAAAATTTTATCTTTTTCAAACCTAATTTTTTGGGAAAGAATTTTTTGTTTTCGTTGGGTGGTAAATTTCAAAAAAAAAAATTTTATTTTTCTGAAATCGATCTACGTGATTCTTTATTCTTTATTCTTTCTTTGATGATCAATGTAAATACCTTTTTTCCACATGATGAGCGTTTATCGTGCAATAATAATAGTTTTTTTTTTCCAACCGAAGAGAACTATCTGGTAAGGATAAAAAGTTTTATTTATTTTACATTTACAAAGAGCTATTTAATTTCAACAATTGAATTATTGTTTTTTGTTATTTTATTTTATCATATACGCTACTAAGAATAACTTTTTGGTAGTGGCGAAGCATCTTTCTTTTTTCGTTTAATATTTAGTCAGTGTGATGAAGATCATACCATTGATTTATTAAAACATTCCTGTACCATTGATTTTGTTTAAAGTGTTATGCGTTTAGTTCGTTACAATTTACGAATTATCATTTGTCCTGTTTTTTTTTGGATCATACCATTGATTTAGAAAAGCATTATGCGTTTAATTATTTAATTATTTATTTATTATGTTTATCACTAAACATGCTAAAAAACATTTTTTACTATTATTATCATTTGTCCTGTTTTTTTGGATCATTGGTTTGTTTACTTTTAAGAAAAGCATTATTATTATTAAAAATATAGCATTGTGTGTTTAATTCAATCGACAATTGAGTTGATTATTTGTTTCTTACTCAAAATGCTTTGATCATGTCTATATGCTCATTTTGCAAAGCTGGATTGCAAGCTTCGTAAATCTTGACTTTAACACTTACTTTGATCAAACCCGCTCATATAATTATTGAATAATTGATAAAACATCCGTTTTGCAAACTCAATTTTCAAGTTCATAGACCTTGACTTTAACACTTACTTCGATCAAACCCGCCTATATGATTATTGAATAATTGATAAAACGTTTATTTTAAAAAATTGATTTACGAACTTCTTGATCTTGTATTTAACACTTACTTTGATTGCACCAATACAGACTATTGAATAATTGACAAACGTTCTGTAATTTTTATTGTGTAATCCTGTGTAATTAAAAAAAAAAAAATTCAATAGAATAGAATTTGTCCAATGAAATGTTGTAAACTGTATATACCCCATGCACAACTTGATGCAAGGCTCATTTTTCCATTACTAGTACTCTCTTGGGGTAAGATATGCAATGGCAACCCATGTGACTCACTTAAATGTGTTATCAAAGTCCAGCAAGTGAGAGAATGGGACCCTTGCTGGTGGCTCATGCTGGGTGTATTGACCTTTCATGACATGACCTCTCTTTTGTCAATTGTTTATTTTACTTAAAATATTTAGAAGGAAACAAAAAAAAGAGATAAAATTCGTTAATTGATTTGATTGGTTACATTTGTAATATATGAAGATCCATCAATTATGAGAAGGCATTATTATTATAGCAACAAGTAGCAAACAACAATGAATCATCATTTTTTGAGGATGATAATAAAAATTAAGATCCGATTTTGTTGCATGAAAATATTCAAGTTTTTCAAAAAAAAAAAATGGGGACGGCCGTCCTATTTATATGTCTTGGATTTAATAAATAGACTACTGTCTTGGCCCGAGTGATGTCATTTTTTTTGCTCTTTGCGGCAAAGAAGATGCAATCCCAAACCCGACTTAAAATAAATGATTTTTGTTCTCGCGTAGAATGGTGTGCATAATTTGTAAC